CTATACACCGTGCGATTACGCGTCAAATGAGCTCTAATACAATAATATTTGAACACCTGGAACATGCACCATTCTTGACGCGCGCAACTTTCCATGGATTGGTTTGTGAAACCCTCTCTGTTCGAACGCAGATTGCACGTGAAACGGTACGCAATGATGGAACAAACGTTCAGTGTCATTGTGGTGAACATGCAAGTGAACACAAATCTTGCCAAGGCCACTTTGCTGCGAAAAAAGTCAAAATTCAGAAACTGATGATTTTAATCTCAAATGAGGGTCAATAGTAAATTAAGATGGTGGACGAAGCGAATGCATGTTCTGTGCCGGTTTACGCGCTTTGCACGAAATGGCCATTGTTTAACATACATCCACTTTGATTGTACCTGACTGAAAACCTAGGGGCATTCGACAGTTTATGTCACAACATAGCATGGAAAGACAATTCTGCGTGAAAACAGGTGTAACGAAGCACATGTGGATGACTGGAAAACGGCCGTTTTTTGGGCAACAGAATGTGCCGAGCTGATATCTCTCGAACAACTGAAAATAGAAAGTTGCTTCCACTTGCAACCGGTATAAAATGATGCTAGAATTCGTTGACTGCATTCTTGATCATGGGGCGATGAGAATAAAATTTAGGCGCGACCAGTTTCTGGAAAAAGTGAAAAGTTTTAAAATGCGATTTTTTGTTAGAATATAACAGGGCATTGTTCATTTAGGTTGTGTTTGAAACGGCAAGTGTTTCTGTGTATGTAAACAGTTTCTACAGCAATTGAAAAATCTACAGCAAGCGCGGCTTGTGTGTGTTTTTATATCACTTCAAAACTATACAAGTGTCAAAATTTTAAGTTAAAACATCGCATTCACCGTGCGATTACGCCTCTACGAAATGTGTAGAATTTGAAAACGGACGTTTTGCGGGTAGCAAAACGTTTCAAAGTCATATCTCTCGAAATGATGAAAACAGAAGGCTGTTTTTACTTGCAAACGATGTAAAACGATGTTACAAGTTGTTGACTATCTTCTTGATCACCGGGAGATGAGGAAAAAATTTGGGCGTGGCCAACTTTTTTGAAAGTTGAATTTTCTAAAATTGAATTGGTCTCCGGATGTCCAAGGAGCAGGCGTTGGAGGAGATGAAAGCCGTCCACCCGAGCATTGACCTCCAGATGCTGGAACCTGTCCCCAGAGAGAGGGTACGGCATGAGACTCATGTTGTCAATTATTGGAAAAAATCGTCGGTGTTATACCTGTAATTTGCCCCCGTTGTAATGGAGATTCTTTGAGTGTTTGCGCAACTTTGGTATGCTTAGGTGTATATGTTATTTTCCATCTGATGCTCCCACGTTTATAATCCCGAGTTTCGCGCATGCTCATGCCTGTGGTAGCCTAACTCATTTAGCGTAGGCCTAGCTTAGCTTAATATACCGAGGGTTAAGAATAACCTTGATATATCAAGACATGATCACTGATGGGAAATGCCCAAAGGACAATCGATTGTCTTTATGAATCTTCCCAGTAGGTGCTGCAGTAACTTTTTAATGCTTATTTAATGTGCAACACCCGTGACACTGTTAATGGTGGTTGCATTGTTTGATGGATGGTAGAAACGGATTGCGAGGAAACAACGAATAGCATACATTTGAAATCCATATCTATATGACGCTGTTGCATTGCTGTAGGTTCCGACAATGTCATGTCATCTCATGCTGATGCTTCGTTTAGGTCTTTTTGTTTCATCAGATATGATTTTCTAAGTGTCTGGAATCCTGTCAAATGCAAAAGTCATTGGTGTGAAATGTATTGTTTAAGCCCACGTGTTGTCCATAGTTGGGTGTCATAGACCTACATGTGGTTTTGCATGTCACACACACACACACACTCAGAACTTGCCCTCACAGCACCTTTGTATATCACTTCTGACACGTTTTGTGTGACCTAATGCAGTATTACTTAGCTAAATTGGCAACAGTTCAGCGCGCTGGAGTTTCGTCAGACCAATTCTAACAGCCGATCTTCACCTTGGAAACCATCGTTTATCAAGGAAGTGACCTAAGCCACATGAACAGCTTTTTACTCAGAATGTGCCAAATTGATCATTTTCCATTTGCCATAAACTTTGCACATATAACTGGTTGGAGCTGGACAGGAAGAGCTTGCCAAATTGTGTTGTGATTGCTGGCTTCACATCCTCCCTGAGGCAGTGCACAATAGGCTCTGACTTGTGTCTAGCCCTGCTATGTGCTCATTCTTGTTGTGTTTTTTGTTACTATAATTGTCTGTCCATCTTATCATGTATGCCGTGTTCTGGCAGGTACTGGATTACGTGATCCAGTGTTCCACCCAGCCGGATCCCCGCCGGCCAGGTTCCGACTTCGACTTGGCCTCGTTCAAGACACTGGCCACCTGGGCCCGCAGTGGCTGCCGCCTGGACACGGCTGCGTTCACCGACCTGATGTCCACCCTGGCTAGGATGCGACCCATGTACACACACCGTCTGCTGCAGGTGAGTGGTCTCTGGTGATGCCCCAGCGGAGCGGTCGGCCCATGCGGTCAATTAAACACGGTGAGGCGCTTGCACCAGCAGGCCTGCCACCTTCGCTCTAATGTATCAGAAACCTTCGGCCTCCGCCGTTCACCCCTTCCGATCTGATGCAGGTGGGCAGCGAAGGCCCATCCGGGCCACGCATCGTTCTCTCGCGGTGTTTGTGTTTATGACATTTGTGTGCATTGTGCATGCATTTGCACACTGAATCACATTTTAAAAATCCATATTACGAACATCCGCGTTAGATGTACAGCATGTGAGCACCATAGGCTTTACTAATACGCCGCAGCGGTACCTGGTGTTGGTTTGCTGATGCTGCTGTCGTAGGAGATGTGGGCTACGTTAATGTGTTGACGGCCAGCACCATGATCTATGTAGCTGTGGGTAGAAAATGTGGATCTTCATTTCTCAACGTTACTGTGAGTGGTACCAGTTATGCTTAAAAGTGTAATATGGCTCCCAGTAGGGACAGGAAACCTGCAATTGCATGCTCGATTGCCTTATGCACCGAGCTTGTCACGCACACGCTATCAGGTGTTCCATGTTGCCTTTAAAACACCAGCAGGATGTTTAGTGAAATAAGAAGCCTACATGTGGTCGCGCCGCGCACTGTATTACGCCGACCTACTCAGGCACCCAGTGCTTCATGCATGCGGCTTTGGTGTTGTTCTCAGGTGCTGCCTTGTTATGTGATGACGTTTTGTGTCACTGGCTGTGCATGTGATCCCAGCTTTAGAAGTGTTTTTACATTTTATATGTACATTCACCTGTATGATATGAGCGATATGCGACGATGGATAGCGATTGATCGCAGCCATGTGCCATTCTCTGTGATGGTCGCGCCGTGCACTGTATGACGCCGACCTACTCAGGCACCCAGTGCTTCACACGTACGGCCTTGGTGTTGTCGTCAGGTGCTGTCTTGTTATGTGGTGACGTTCTGTGTCACCGGCTGTGCATGTGATCCCAGCTTTAGAAGTGTGTTTTACATTTTATCTGCACATCCACCTGTATGATATGCGTGATATGCAACGATTGATAGCGTACTTCTCAGCCAATTATCTCTGCAAATCCGAGCAGTATTGTACAATTCCTTTTGCGATGCATTTGATTTGCCCAACCGTATCACTGTGCCATAAATTATGGTATAATCGGGCATTGCGTATATTTCTGTAATACATCGTGTCAATCTATGTGCCAACATGCGACCGCATGATTATCGCTCTGTGTATCTGCATTTGTTGGTGGCAGATACCAGGTGTAGCAACGTTTTGCAAAGGAACTGCTGCAGGTTTTTTAGGTTAGATATAAACACCCCCTTCAATACAAGTGAACAAAATGAACCGACATGTACAATAATAATATATCATGATGCATAAACCTTGCAATGTGTACAAAAGTTCCTGGGTCAAGGTGGCAGAAGATTCCGATACTCTGAAGGCCCACTGTTTTCTGAGGGATGAAACGCTGGGGACGCACAGATCCGCATCACTGATCCGACCAAAGGCAGAGATCCGACCCAAAATTGTAAAGCTTTGGCAGTTCGGCTCGGATCAGTTTGTTGCCCTTTGGGTGTGTGATGATACTGGATGTGTTGAGAGTTTTCAACAGTTTAACTCAGGTTTCAGCATCAAGCGGCTCAATTGTTTTGGAAGTTGTGTTGCGCTTCCCAAACATTCCAAGAGGGTTATTTTACAGGGCGAGACATTTTTTCCAACTCGTAACAGTACAACTATATCTTGGCAGACTTCATGTCGAAAGCTCAATATCTTCAAGCTGCATAAAAACTCAGTATGTCCAAAGCTAGACACCGGCATGCATCGCGGCGACGAAAAACGGAGCATCTTCGGGAGAAAAAGAAAACATTCGTACTTCATCAAATTACGTTCGCGCGATGCAGTGAAGTACGCCACCCACTAACCGTCAGGGTTGAAGTGCTAAGTGCTAAAAGCGCCTTTTCCCATCAATTTGCCGGCAGGTGATCTGCGGTCACTCGTTACCAGGTATACTGGCGATATAACAAAATTGTGTCGATAATTTAAAGTATCAATTTAGTCATCGAACCATTTTTTGGAGGGAGATTCTCCTAATGGAGTAAAAGCTGCGCAAAAAACGTGTGCTTACTGTAGACGGACACGTCATGCTACACGCTCGCTTCACCTCCCGGGTCCGAGCATGCTGCAGGACGAGGGACATGACGAATGATTATGTTAACCGTGTTTTGACCTCGTGTCGTCACTAGCCACGGACCGTCCGCGTCACTTCACTCTTGTGACCATTTCCCGTCTTCCTCGTGGGGACTTACATTGTGGCATCACTCACACGCACGCAACGGATAGTGTTCGAGAGGAATGAAAATTATCAAGCGGTCAACGCGCCTCAAAACAAATATTATCACCACCCGAAATCTCTGAGATCTTCGTGCTGAAAGCGACATCACTGACGACGTAGATAGCGAATGACATCTTTTATTTTGAAAGAGAACAGGTTACACGCCGTCGTACACCCCTTGTGGAGCATCAGCGACTACAGCAAACGTATTGGCGGGACCAGAGCTCGATTCTCAGTTGCACCGCAGTCCCGGCCACTTACGTGGAACACAGACCACTTGGCTGTCACATGCCCACATGCTTAAACACTCTGCGACAAAATATCCAGGAACTTAGATCATGGAATGACTCTGACAGTGTCCATAAACATCGTAGCACTAAACCTCGTTTCGCTTCGCGTATCACGCGTCATACGGGACGCCGCGCAACTGTCTCACGCAAGTGTCGCTGAAGCCATCACTTATTGACGACTCATAGTTCAAGGCTTACAAATGGGACATGCTGCTGGGCGCAAAATGGCCCTGATGCCGACGCGCCCTTAAAAACCAAAAACCAACCTGGGACATGCCGCAATATTTCTGGTGCTCAATTAAAACCACCAACCTCACCTCTTTTAGCTTGGCTATGCATGCAACAGTTTTAAGTTACCACTCGCACGAACAAAAAATATCAATCTAAACGCAAAGAACACAATGGGTAAATTATACCGGACACAAACAATACCCCGATACAAGGTCGCATGATAAGTAAGTACGAGCAACGTTCCCACAAACTGCGAAGGTGATACACATACGATGAAAACATTTAGACCAACCTATTGTTCCGAAGATCGTAACAGCAGCGGAAAGCACTGCATTCGTCACAAAAGCAAAAGACGACTCACATTTAGCATTGGAATGTCTGGTAGGACTTTGCAGAGCATTGTGGCTAATAAATAAACCGTACAATAGAGCAGCGACGACCCCAAGTGCTTCCTCGCCAATTCAGCAACAGTTCGACCACAACGCCCTCCTCACCTCGATAGTTTCGTCAACTTTGTCACAGCCTTCCTATCCGAACCTTAAGTGGTGGCATTTTAGACGCAAACCCAACCCCACAAAAGTAAGCGACAGAAGGCACACCGCTTTCTCGCACGGTGGTGCCCGCCGCACGCGATCCAAACTCATTGAGGTAGCACAATCAGCCAAGTGGTCATCCCCAGCACTCCACACCGTTCGAAGCCGCTCACAAGCCTGTTGTCGGTGGGCATATCGCAGATGTGCTGGTCGCTCTGTCGGACGGCCGGTGGCTGAATCGGGGACCGCTGCCGGTGAGACTGGTGTCCCGCTCCGTCGGCGCCCACAGCTGTCTGCTGACAGGGCGCTGTGTCTTACCGGGGCTCAGTCTCCGGCCGGGTCTTGTCGCTGACGGCAGCGTCGTTTCGCGCGCTGTCTGCCGGTCCGCACAGCTCACTAGTAGGGCCGTCACCGCTGGTACAGCTCACTGGTAGGGCCACCGTCTCCTCGTGGTCCTCACCGGTCACTGATGGCGTCGCCTCTCCCGGCGCCATCTTCCTGCAGGGCACCCACGGCGTCGCCTTCTCGCCCAATGTTTCCTGGCGCTCACCAGCTACTCGTGAGGTCACCTCCGAGGCAGCCGAGGCCCCTGGCGACCCTGGCCGACCGACCCAGCCGGTGACGGTGCCGTTCACCAACACAGGCGGCGGCGGGGAAGGCCGGTCACCCGACTCGGCGTCAGCGAACACCGGCTCGGCCGGCCGGCCGCACTGCTCCACCAGGGTCTGGTACCGGGCCAGTTCGGCCGGCTCAGACACCTGCCGTAAGCTGGTCGGCGCCGCAGACGGCGGCGCGCGCACCGAGTCCCCCTGCTGCTGCATCTGTAAATATCAGTCTGATGACAAGGGGAAGGCGTCACAACATCCTGCCTCGTGCTGTTTCCGTCAACATTAACAACAATTTGCAAGAGAAGCTTATGGCCCAAGTGCAGAGCTTAGCTCGCTCCAGAATCTGAGAGTTTAGTTCGCTCTAGAATCTGAACCCGGTTAAATCGCAAATAAACGGACAACATTTGTCATCTGCCTGATCACAAGTTTTCGTTCGTTAACTTACACGGGGTGTCGAATTGAGTCCACTACGTTACCAACCAAACACAGTGTGTCGTTTTTCAACCGGATCGCGACGAGAAAATTCGCTATACTGTTATCCTGTTTCTCAATCTACCAATACGAAAACGCAGTTACAGATGTATTGAAACATTTCCAGATGACTGCCTCTTCTATGTTCTGTCAACTGTATGTGAGCACAGGTACGATCATCTCAATTAAGGCATAGACAATGAAATAATATCAAAGCAAAGCGTACTTTAACAGACAACCACTGCCCCATTACGAGTCCGCGAGTTTTGCACAGGTCTGATCTGTACGAGGGCCGGATTTTAACACGCGCCCGGGTGGCCGGCTAAATACTCTTCGCTCGGGTGGGCGGAGCCAAGTTTATCCCCCCTGAGATCTCGGGAACTAAGAAAGCTAGACACACAAAATTTACAACGTGTGTTGACCTGTGCGTGAGCTCACTTAGCTCAGAGTTTGAGCTACCTAGGTCATAACCTTCAGGTCACATAAGGTCAAACAATGTCAAATTCCAGGTTGGTCTCTAAAGTGCCCCTGAACCTAGATAACTGTTTTTACACAAAAGGCCATCAGATCATTCAAGGCCAGTGACATTGTCTGACCTTTTGAAGGTCATGCTGCCCAAAATCATGCAAGATTGCTCTGAGTTTTGCATTTGAATAGGCGACAAACGTTACGCCAGGCAGCATGTTCCTAAAAACAAAATATCGACCTGGGCCGTCTCGGGTCCATGACCTACTCTGACTTGTGTCATTGGGGCTTTACGGCGCACTCAGCTGCTGAGGATATATGGCGTCGCCTGCCTCTCACCCTGGCAGGAAGGGCGAGCACCGCGGGGAATCGAACCCCGTACCTCTGGTTTCCCAGACGCGCAGTGGTTAGCACAGACGCGCTAACCACTACACTACCGGCACCCCACCTATTCTGACCTCTAAGAAGTCAATGGAAGATGTATAATGCGGTTCCTGCTACCAATAAATTCAAAATGAGCACCAGAAACCATCCCATGCGGCAAGCCCTCGTGTAATAAAACAGGTTTGTTTCGACCTTGGTCTCACCTTCACACCTGACCTCAGGTCAACGGTATTTTCTCACTCAATATTTGTGTTGCCTAGGAAAGCATCTCTGAGATGTATGGCTCTGTCAAACACTCCGATGTTGCGTCAGAATGAACGATTCCCTAGAAATTGACCTCGCTCAGACCATGGCCTGACCGACCTGCCATAGCTAGCGACCTTACAAGGTACATCTAATGTTTTACGCCAAACGATCCGCTGTTCGATCGTCTACAGCTATGCAAAATTTGGCGCTCGAGCGCTTGTTAAGGGTCCCAGTTGCACAAGGCTCTATAGTGAAGGAGCGGCGAGCAAGCTCTGTTCTCACACGTCACAATTGCAAAAGTGGTGCTGCGGAAGACCGAGACGCGTGGTTAGTTACCTCTCCGCTTAACACGAGCAGGTCTCTTAAAACAGGAGGGCCGTTTCCTAACGCCGTGAGCTTACAAGTGTCATATAAGCACCTCATAAGCACCTCCAACCAATTTCTCTTCAGATGACCAGCCCAGTTCAGGCAGTGCGGTAGAAACATGGTCGTATGGTGTCGATCTCCCCCTCAAAAAACGTCACAACTAGTAGCACCACGTGAATGCGTGGCAAAACCATGCAGGGCAGCCATACGAAGCGATGGTACTTGCCTTCCACAGCAGATGCTCCTCTCTGTACGGCAGCAGGGGCACCACAAACGCGCTGATGTCGTCGATGGTGGCCATGCCGCCGTCTGGCAGCCGCCAGAGTCGCCCCTTCAGCTTCCCCCTGGCCGCCATCACCAGGTCCTGGGCGGCCGACGTACACCTGTCGGTGCACACGGCACTTCACGCCAAATGGACTGCCATCGCTTTCACGGTGATATGTTGAGGCATCCACATCAAGAAAACGCCTGCTATCACGACTTCCGTTGTACATACTATAGTTGAAACCCGCTCATAACGTTTACAACACGTTGGATTTCTCTACAAAATCTTCTTTCCGAAGGGGCTGTGCTTGAGCTGAAATGCTCCGAGTTTCGCACTTAGTCACGTAGCATTCCACTTGAAGTCAGCATGGGACTTTCCGAAGGAACAAGACGTAACATCTTACACCCAGTACCAAAACTAAGCTTATCAGGATCGCCACAACACGAACCAGACCTGACCCAGCCCGGTCACGCAGTCAGCACAGCTGTGACAGACGAGTTACCTGTAGCGCCGCTTGGACGGGTCGTCGGCGGGATAGTGTCGCAACGCCTGGTCCACCAGCTGGGCGGCGCGACCGTTGGAGACCACGTCCCACAGACCGTCCGTGGCCATCACGAGCACGTCGTACTCGGTCACCGCCTCCTTTTCCAGGTCGATCACCAGCACCTGCCAGCCTTCAGTGATTACTACCGCCGATCGTTTTGTGTGCCAACCAGGTCGATCGCCAACGCACGCACGCACGCACACACACGCGCACACTCTTGCTGTCTGTCTCTGACAACGAGGAAGAAAAGAAGAGAGAGAGAGAGAGAGAGAGAGAAGAGAGAGAGAGAGAGAGAGAGAGAGAGATAGAGAGAGAGAGATAGAGAGAGAGAGAGAGAGAGAATAGAGAGAAGAGAGAGAGAGAGAGAGAGAGCTAGATAGCTATCGATAGATATCTCCGAGCTATAGAGCGACGATCAGATATGACTAGATAGATATAGAGAGAGCAGAGCGAGAGCACGAGACGACGATATCTCACGCATCGCCGTCAGAGCCGCTCGAGCGCGAGCGCTCTCGCCCCTCGCATTCTCTCTCTCTCTCTACTCCTCTCATCGCCGCTCTCTCTCTCTCTTCGCTCTCTCCCCTCCGTCTCTCCTCTCTCTCAGCTCTCGCTCTGCGCTCTCTCTCTCTCTCTCTCTCTTCCCTCGCGCGACTCCTCGCTCTATCGCTCCTTCCTCTCGCTCGCCTCGCCTCTCTTGTGTATTCTCTCTCTCTATCTATCTATAGTCAATATCAATCTACAGTATTTCATGAACATCACAGACAAAACTAAGGCAGTCTTTGCTCCATCATTACCCATCGCTTACAAACACCTGATGACATGCATTATTGTTGACAGCCAAATCACGCCGCCGCCGGTGCTGATCATATGGTACCGCTCGACCGCACCCACTTCGGGTTGTGACGAAAGGAACGGCTTGATGAGGACGTTTGTGTTCTGCGCCTTCAGGTCGTGGTCTCCGAATCCCCGGGTGACGCCGATTGTGGCACACACGCGGCTCTGCAGCGTAAACAACCACATCCGGTCAGACACGCCAGACCTGCTGCAAAGTAGGCCACCGACCGCCAGGCTCACGACTCTGATACACGGCCAAACTCAGGGCGAGCAGTCAGCACCACGCCAACACTCTCAGAACTAAACAGAACTATACTCAGCACAACCCGGCACACAGGCGACGGTCCCTTCCCCACTCCGCCTCGCCCAGTCCGACATAGAGCACCACGAAATACGGACGCAGCAACCAACAGACACCCCTCCACCCAATCCCGCCTCCACCAGCTCACTCGCTTGCCGTCGCCACAGACGATGGGGAACTTGAGGTCGCGCTCGGTGACCGTCTTGTACGCCCAGCCGGTCATGTGGGCGTCCCGGTACAGCACACGCTTGCCGATGTCGCGCCGGCTCACCCGACGGCAGAAGTCCAGGTGAGTGAACTCGCCGCCGGTCAGCGCCGGCTGCTGGCCCGCCTGCAGTGGACGGCATCAATGTCACGGCGTGACCCCAGTACCAGTGGCCGGGTCGCATCCTCCTGGTTTTTCGGCACAACAAAAGCCTCAAGCTCTAGGTGCTTCAACATTAGAAGGAACAGATGATGAAAATTGACCTCAGGATACGGGGGAGACTAGTTGAGGAATTGGAAACCACCGGCTGCTTGATGTAAGACCAACCAGTGCCGGACAACGAACGCACCAGCCGGTAAATACCAAACCCAACACCTGACCGAGGTCACCAACACCAGTTGTCAAACAAACTCGCCGGCTGTCACAACTACAACAATTAGAAGCTGTTGGACATCCGACCCAACAGCTGCTGGACATCACGATAGCCTGACATAACGTGTAAAATCTACCAGCTGTTGGACGCCGGACCCAACAGCCATCACATATCGGACCCACTGGCTATCAGACGTCAACCCCAGCAGCTTTCACGCGTCAGATCCACCAGCCCACAGACGTTAGATCCACCAACTGTTGGACGTCCAACGCACCAGCTGTTGGGAGTCACACAAGCTGTTGGACGTCACCACCAACCAGACACACAACCAGCTGCCAGATGTCAGATCCACTGTCATCGGTTGTCAGATGTCAGGATGTCACCCGCTGTCGCGACCCACCACGGCGGACACAAGTCCACCGGCCGTTGACTATCGCATCCACTCGCTGCCAGACGACAGACTCAAAAGCTGTTGTATGTCTGGCCCACCAGCTATGGGGCGACAGACTGGCAGCTGCTGGACGGCTACCGCGAGTAAGAAACACCAGCTGTCAGAAAACAACCCCACCGACGGTCAGCCTTCAGACCCACCACCCGTCGGACTTCAGACTCACCACCTGTCGGCCTTCAGACCCACAAGCTGTCGGACATCACACCCACCAGATGTCGGACATCAGACCCACAAACAGGCAGCCTTCAGACCCACCAGCTGTCGGACGCGCTGCCGCTCTGACTCCGGCGTGAAGTCCGTGGTGGCGGGCCCGGCGTGGCCGGCGCGGCAGAGGACGGCGCGCGAGTCGCCCGCGTTGGCCACGTACAGGCGGCCCAGCAGCAGCAGCGCCACCACCGCCGTGCAGCCGCCGCGCATGTCGAACCGCAGCCGATCCTCGGCGATCAGAGCGTCCTGCGCAGGTCGGTCCGCAGGTCACACCATGTACAGCACAGAACAGCAAGCCACAGGAAACATGCAGCTGACAGCTAACCGTAAGTGCCTCACTAAGCAATTTGTTCGAGAAGAAAACAATGGTATTCCTGTAGGGCGACGGTCATCAGACAACAAACATACATTTTCCTGCCCTGGCTTAAGTTTTGAAACATTCGTCAATTTGTTTTGTTTTCTAATTAGGGAAACATATCTCGCTCATCGTAGCTAGATGGCAATATGCATCGATATCTTTTCATACCGCCTTTATGCACGTACGGATTCAGTCCGGCACGTTGGCAATCGAATTTTCCATCACAGAGAGCTCGACGTTGGACCACGCATTTTTGATTGTCTTTTCGAGCTATAGGCCTGTGTCCACGACAAACTGGGGAACAGATCACACTTCTTAGATCGAATTCGGCCTCCCGGGTGCCATTACAAGGCTCTGGCAAAGCGATGAACCGGGGGGGGGGGGGGGGGAGGGGATTTGCGCGAATACACACACCAACATGCCATCCCCCACCGCGACTTCACATCACTTTCGTGGCAGCCAACCACTGCAGATATGGCGGACGGAAGTTCTGTCTTGGGCCAGTTTGCAACACTTTTTCAGTCCACATTGTTTCCCCCGTCGATAAATACTGGTGACAGAAGCCGACACTGGCTGGGCTAATACGCTGTGGGACTTCCGGACCTGCAGCATACCTACAGCCAACCGCAGATACAGAGGCAATGATCATTCACCATAACCTCTCGGGCTGACATCCCACGTGAGCGCTATGCCCCATCTTACCGTATTTCGACCCTAAGTTATTGGTTTTTTTTTATTGGACCATCAGTTATTTTGACCCTACTTCACGCCCTGATTTCCGGCTGGAGAGGACGCCAAGAAACACCGGTGCACTCGGGGCAAACCTCAGGGATGTGAAACCACACAGCTCCATAACACACATGCCGGTGGCTCGTGCCAGGATTTTTGCCGGGAACTGCACAGCAACACATAAAACATACTGGATAGCTTCGTCTTGCAAACCAGATAAGCTAATACTACATAAGATAATAACAGTACGAGTATAGTATGACACCAGATAATGAGATAACAACAGATAAGCAGATATACGCGCGCACCATGTCGTGGAAGGCGGCCTCCAGTGCGCCGGTGACCAGCCGGTCCACTGACATCTCTTCTGTCGGCACCCAGAGCAGGTCGCTCGCGACTGCCTCAGCCGCCGGCTCCAGCGGCAGCAGTATGTCCATCACGTCCACCAGACGGTCCTACCGGCGGCAGAGGAGGAGGCAGGGGCAGGGGGAGGTCATGCTTGATAATTCCGACACCAGCACCACGCGCATGTGGCCACGTTGAGGTGTGGTACCACCAACGTTAATGACATTCTGACACATACATATTTTGCATTCAATCGTGACACGTTTAAAGACGCGTCATTATTTAATGGGTCCATCATGTTATCATAATCTTCAACAAAGTACCAGCAACAAGTTGTACTTATTGCACATAAAATGAATAGCCCACCCTGACACAGCACAAACCCAGCAACAAACACGTTTCACGCGCACAATGCTATTTCAGTGCTTTCTTTTCCTAATCATGCTCTTCACTTTGGCCTGCAAAATTGACAGGGAGATTCAAGGTCACCTTTAACATTCTGTCACCCGTTAACAATTATCTTTAAGATCCTGATCTAAAACATGTAGGAGTGTGCTCCACCTCTGCGCACCTCGCGATGAAATTGTTTTTTTTCCATTTTCTGGCCTCACTGGAGGTGACTGCAGCGTGTCACTTGCCAGTTGTTCTGTGCACATGTACCATCGTTTCTCGAGAACAGGTCGGCCAAACATTCTGGGATTTCGGCCTTTGTCGTTTTGCACATACCCATGCCTTCGTAGTACTCTACCAATTCTTCAAGAGCCAAACAGCCTAGTTTCGCTTCAGGTCATAGTGCAATATCATACTTTTCAGACCAAGAATAACGAGCAACGAAAAATGTAAAATAGCTTGCAAGTTCGTCTTGCTATTTGTTCCAAGTAGAAGATGGTGATGATGTGCAAGAGCTGTAACAAGCTGTGCAGGTTCTTGTTGCCTCGTAAGTAAGCTCACCATAACCAGCGATCACAAACTATTCCCGAACGGTTCGCTTGTTGACAATAGTCCACCTTCTTCCCACCCACATTCGAACTGAGGGTTAAGAATTTTAGACGAGGTCGTATGTCAATTATTATCGTCTGGTTTTTCTCTGGATTCACGCTCACACCGTTTAAACCGAACCATAGTCTCAAGGCTACAATTTCTTCATCCGTGCTCATAGATCAGTTGTTCATAAGGAGGATTGCCGGTTATGATTGATTGGCACTTATCTGCATATTGCACTCGCTGAAATCTTCTGGTATGATTGACCATGTCGTTGGGGCAGATGGTGAAAGGACGTGGACCAAGGCACGACTCTCGAAAAATGCAGTAGTCCACCGGCTGAGGAGTTGCGGACGTCGTAGCACCAGGTATTGCTTGCAGGTGATTCGGTAGGTAATCATCGATCCAGGGAGGTGGCACTGGACTATTTCCAAGACAATTCAGGAGCAGTTAGTGGTCGTCACGGGCAAAGATCTTACAAATATATCGCAGACATAGCCGCGCCACCTGACAAGCATCCGCTGGAGTGTTAGAGGACTGTTTCCGTCGAAAAGTGGCATCTAAAACAATGTTGCACTGGCGAGAGAAGATTGTTGCCAGCAAAGTACGCCATAAGCTGATATTCCACTGGCTTCTCTGGTGCCTTGGTCATCACTAGCAAGAGCGACAATAGCTCGCAATTTGCCGGGACGCTGGAATCACCAGCATTAAAACTAATTTTACATAAGTCAGCGTGCAGCCTTTCCGGTGCCATAGCAAGGACAATGGTCATATGACCGCCCAAAGGCTAAGGCGCTGTCCGCGGATCCAAACCCGGGCTTCCACGTGCGAACCTAGCACACTCCCCGCCAACTCTTCCGCTCCCATGTCAGTGTCAATGACATCCCGTGGGTGGGAAATAGAAATATTGTGCCTTTGAATTGCATTGCAACGTTCATGAGAGCGCCATAAACTCACTGGTACCATTTAAAGCCCTCAAGATGGTCCGAACGGAAAAAGAGAGACAAGAAACACCGAACTCGGACGAGCATTTGCCACCACAAAAATACCACGACATGATCAAGTTTTACACAAGTTGTACATATATACATATATAAACATTATATATGTATATATGAACAACTAACTCAGGATTACAATTTGGATTGCTTGGTTTAGATAGATGCGACGTGGCGTCGGGCCAGCCTTACGTAGTAGAAGTAGTAGTAATTGTGGCTTTAGGGCGTCTCGACTGAGCGGCCCTGCGTCCATAAGGCGGTTAAGCTCACGTGTATGATATGGTGGAGCTGACTGGCGGCGGCCACCGACGCTCCGTCGCCCGCGTGACCGTCGAACAGTCCGAAGTAGTAGTAGGGAATGAGGCGAGGTTCCGCGGCGGAAGCGCTAGCATCTCCTGCCGGTCCAGTGCCGACGGCAGCTCTCTGCTCCAGGCTGCCCACGAACACGCTGGCGTTGTCTTCATTCCTCTTACTCTTGCCGGCGTTCACTGCCCTGAAACCGGTGGCCACGTCAGGAACGGTATGCGGCAGAAGGCGAGGTAATACGGTAATACGGTCATGGCATGGTGCCGTTCAAATATTGTGTTGCGCTTGCATTATATTTGGTCAGATTATTCAGCACTATCGCGCTATTCCTAGGCCTTCGTTAACAGGTGCATGGAGCGTCACGACGCGGCAAGCATAAACAGGACACAAAGACATACACACAACATGTAAGTAGTGTTCGGTACTTTGAATAACGTCATGGATACGGGTTTTGAAAGCACAACAGACAGCTCCGCGATGTCTTTGCTCATTGCACGCAGCTTGCACATATACGTAGCTTGGTTGGCATGTGCTTGCTTTCCATGGCTGTCCTCGGTGCAAGGAGATATATCACTAGATTGACCCAGCGTACTATCCTCGATGTTTCGAGGGTTGTAGGCTAGATGTAGCATTGTTAAGTCCCTGGGTCCCCGTTGACCAGTACCTTTTTAATATGTCAAATGCGCTTATATCAAATATATCGAAGAAAGCAACAAACGCTTGGGCACTAAGACAATTAAAGGCAGTATTCCACATTTGTATAGGGTTTTGAACTGAAAAAGCCATCTTGAAGATTATCGGTGCAATGCACAGCCCTGCCCTTCTCAAGACTTAAGCCCTTCCAATTTCTGAGCTACAGGCCCGCGAAAATGTGCAGAACATTTCGGGGAGCCTGTTTTAAGGTCACTCAGGCAACCATGACGCCATAATAACGTCAGTCATATCCTGTCATTCCATCGGCCATGCTGTGATTAAGGCCAAGACACGTATCAATGTAAAGTCGTTCATATCTGGCGCTCGTAAACACGATTTCCATACATATCGACCGTCAATTGGTTCTTAATTAATGTTGTGCAAGGTGCGATGACGCAATCAAACAATGACGTACTTAGGAGCATACTCATTCAACAGATATTGTATTGTCAAGAGCAGTCTATTCCAACTAAAAGTGTAGCGATAGTTTGAGTAGCGATAGAGTTTGTTCCATCGCATCTCATTATTGCTTCAATACCTGCAACTGCAGAACATTCCCTTTAAACAGTCGTAGAAGACCCACACATGGCTAAATTTACGTCCCATGGAGAATCTTGCTGGATCGATCGGCCGGATCGATCCAGCAAGATCCAGATCGATCGGAAGATCACCTTGCTGTGAAGTTGAATGTCGCACACATTTCGACATTTTCACCTTTTCTACAAGATTCGGTCTAGGATCGGCGGAGCCTCCCGGCGTGAGCAAGGGACAGCCAACGCGCCGGCCGTGGCCAGGATTTGGCCACGGCCCTCCTCCCCCCCCCCCCCCCCCCCCCCAACCTCCAAATCAAACAAGAATTTCCGGGTGAGCGGAGTCCGGAACTGAATGCGGACCCGCCACAACCTGCACCTGGCCAACCTGCCACAGCATGAGGACGTCTGCTGTTGAACTGATCTGCGAGACCGACCGGCGCGTGACGCCCGGCAAGGCGCGGCAGGCGCCGGCCCTTCAGCGGCCCACGATCCTCGACAGCAGCCATACTCTTTTCCGATACGGACCAACTCTTCAAATTAAGGCATCTGGCGTCTGCTGGCCCAACAAAATCAATGGACGCCCGACATCCGGCCAGCGGTGGAAAAACAACACAGCTACCTCATCTCCGCCAGAACCCCGACGCGCCGGTGCCCATGTCGTCCAAGCTGGTGTCAAGAGGGCCGCGCCGCGTGGAAACTGGATCAGAGTGACACACAGGACCCGCCCCACACAAAATTCACAGGGTAAATCAGCCTGTACGTGTAATCAAAATTTCAGGCTCCCAGGTCATGACCTTGTGGTCAAATACGGATAAACGGGATCAAACTCCAGGTTGGTGTCTCAGGCGCCCAAGACCTCCTCATGAAACTGTCGTGAATTTAGATGGCTGTTCTAAGAAAAAGGTCAGTGAGGTCGGTAACCTTAATCTTAACAGGGATCGAGCGACCAAATCTCTACAATACTGCTCACATTTTGCCATTTTTAATTTTTTTTTTAATTTTAGGGCGCGCCGACTACTGTGGTCATTTTGCGCCCATAACAGCAAAATGGCTACCTACGACGGTAAATGACTAAAAAATATATATTACTCGGAAATGAAAATGGCTGATTTGTGTGAGGAACGCGTCATTGATATGAAGCTTTCGGGAACCTAAAAACTTCCTACACGCGGTATAAACTATTCAGGCGGGTGTATATAAAGTGCAGAACTTAACATGCGATACGCACATTTTGCCATTCGAATAAGCGTCAGGGAATACGCTAGGTGATATGTTCCTAAAAACAAAGTGTTGACCTGGGTCATTTTAGGTCGGCGACCTACCCTATCCTTTAAAATTTCATGGAACGTGTTTGTTGCGGTCCCTGTCCTTCAGAAATCTCAAGTGAGCACCAGAAACTACCATGTAAAACCTCGCTCTCGAGTAAAATGCAGGCAAGTTTTGACCTAGTTCTGGCCTCTATACCTTATACCTAACCCTTGGTCAATGAGTGGTTGTAACTTTAAATTCAATTGGTTTGTTGCCTGAGAAACTGCCTTAGATGACGGTGATTGTCCGACAATGACCACCAAAACAGCACTAGCCGCTCCAACATGCCTAGCATGAGTGCCGCGTTGCGACCTGCACCCCGCCTTGCAGTTACTAGCCGGAGGTTTACTTAACAGCTTTTGATAGTCGCGTGCATCAACTTTAGAGCACGGTGAAAACCGTTTTAAGTTTTTTAGGGCTAGGTTTTCCCCGCTCAGCCTCTCTCCCACCCCAAATCCTGTTTCGCGAAACACGCCCCTGTGGTGGAGATTTAAAGGCCGTGACGCGCGACGGACCGGCCACCAGATTACTTCAGCATCAGGTCTGGAAATGAGAGCCCATTTTTCCAGCAGGCAAGGCCAGAGCCCGCGATTCACATTGGTCGGTGACCTGGGGCCAATGAGGGCTTCCTCTGTCGGTCAGGGCACCATACTGCCTGACAAGCGTCTTATATTTGCCAGAAACCCAGATTCGGCCTGGGCAGTACTCGAGTGGCCCGCAGAGGAGTCCGAAGGGCCTCTCGAGGCCGAGACCAAAAACTTTATTGGAGGGCACGGGGGGCTTTTGGTAGGTCACATGGAGGACCCTGATACGCAAGGACGGCCCCAGATGCCAGTCAGAGAGCCTCTTGCACCGATGAGCCTCTACTTCGGCTAGAGATAACCAACACCGAGCAGTCGGCTCCGTGTCGGTCTAAGCCCTGACAGCCCACTTCCCAAGCAAGGACAGGGCTGGGACCCGAGATTAGCATTGGTCAGAAGTTTGGGACCCCTGGAACAATGAGGGTCCGTTTGTCGGTCAGGGGCTGCACAGTGTCTAACAGAGGGTTGTGTGTCGGCAAGGGGCTCTGAGTCGACCAGGGGAACGTTTGCTGAATAGGAACAGGGACGGGGCCCGAATGCCAGACGACCACTTGTGTTGCTCGGGGCCATCTGACAGTAAAGGAAGATATGAAAGCTTGTGATGAAGGTACTAAATGAGACAGTGAAAAGGCCCTGTGCCAGTCAGGGCCCCCAGTACCAAACGGGGCTCTCCACTATTTTTCAGCCTAGTGTCGTGCAACTGGAGTCTCTGTGCCAATCATTTGACCACCTGCGGCGATCAGCTGTCCTGTTGAGTCATTGAGGGCTCTTGCACCGATGTACAGCCAAATGCCCGGGTCAGGCCTCTGGCATCAGACAGACGACCTATGTATGACTGGTCCCTGTAAGAACTTCTCTATCGACCAGGGGCCACCGCCTTTTTATCACCGACGTTACAGCCGGTAAGCACCCGCGCTGTAACGGAATGATCCCTTAGTCCCCGGTCGGAAATAGAATGTGGCCCCCAGTATTCTACTCACTAGACCCCTTGCCCGAAAAGGTAAGCGGCTTCTGTAGCGCCCAAAATGACGGATCAAGAGGGAGGCAAAACATGAAAAAGGCGAACACAAACGGGTACGCCCAACTCTGTTCAGAACCAACTTGTGAAACAAACTATTAATTATATAAAAAATGTTGAGCCTGCGAGCTCGCAAACTTAGGAACAAGGATACCGATGGCCGGGTCGCAGTGTCCATCACCCCAAGTGACGCTGGCTGCTGCAGCTAGCACCGGGCAGCGCCTGGCGCTGCCGCTGTGACGCCGGGCGCGCAGGAACAGTCGTCGGGAAAAACGCTCCCGACAGTTTTCCAGAATAACTTGGAACCGCCCAAAAACTGGGCTGGGCTTAAATTTCAACCCCTAAATTTTGACTTTGTCCTCTCAACAGTGACAGAGGTACGACATAGAGACTCCAGCTTAGCGTATCTGGCTTCACCAACAGAGTCCAGCACCGGTTCGCGGTACCGTGCTAATGGGTTCCGTTTCATCCATCCGTTCCTCCAGTAAATCGTAAAAAATACACGGGGAAACATCCTACTAGAATACCTTCTAAATGTAGACATCGACAACCTTCATGGTGTAAAGGCATTTGTTTCAAAAACGTTATCGTATTGGTCTGCCTGCTGGCCGCCGTCTGTGTTAGTCACGGTCCAACGCCGCGCGGCCTACAGAGACTGCAACGCCGGGCGTCAGGGTATTTGCTCCAAGTCGTGGGAGCGCACAAGGTTAGAATTGTTACGGTAGTTTTTCCGCTTCTCGATTCTGAACACAGGTTGGACATTCCCAGACGCGAGCATCGGTCGACCATGTCAATACAAATGCATCAGCCCATTTCAATCTGCAAGCCACGTCCGTTGCCACCTACGTTCACAAAGCTCTGAGTGCTATTGGCTTAGCAAATGTCCGCTGAACCATTGCGTAATGAAAAGCTCTGTCGGTTCGTTCTATGTAATTATTTGATGACTGGTTCCTTCAGTGAATTGACCCTAGAATATGAGCACGATTGCATCTTTCGGTGGCTTTTGGCTTATATTTGAGTTAGAGATAGGCATCGATATACAGCGAAGAAAATC